GATGAGCAGCAGCCAAAACAAGCTGAAAAAAAAACGTTTTTTTGTGCATTACTTATGTCAGACGCTACAAAGCATTTATGTGATTTCTGTCAGATTTCATGAATGATTTCAATAATGATTTGAAGCATTAATGTTAAAGTTTCAGGTTTATAGGTCTCTTTCGATTTAAAGAGATTGCAGCCTGGTCATGTATGACCGGAAATAACTGATAAAGATGACAAGCAAGTGAGCAGATTTTCCTATAAACACTTAACTGATATGGATCTATTCTTCTTTATTTAAAAATTACTAAGCTTTAAAATGAGCCATTTTGAGAAGGCCATCCAAAAGTACTATGATCAAACTGCTCGGACATTCTGCTACAGGAAGAAACATTTAGGTAACAGCATGACTTGTACAAAACCGCAACTTTTTTATTCAGTTACGCTTGGTCAAAAATCAGAACACCCCTAATCAGACTATTTAAAAAAAGAACAGTATTTCTAGTGTGGCTAGCTACTTGTTTTTTATTAACTATATGAGGTTACTGTTGTCATCATGTGATTTACTTTACTCTGCTTTCCGTTATGATATGTTCTGTGATATTAGATTTTGAATCAGACTGGATTTGTTCTTTTTTCCTCTAAAATCCGATCCAGAATTTTATGCTGATATTAGCCGACACTATACTGGTTATGTGCTTGTATTTCAGTGTACATTCAGGCTATGTTTCATTTCAGCTTAAAATCTGTATCCACTGATGATGGCCCTATTCCACTTCCACTTTTCCGATTGAAAACAATACCAATCCAATATTTTCTCTTTAGAACTACTAGGCTTCATAATGAGATGTTTTTAGTTAAAGCATTTCACTTAAGATGATCATTTAAAGTAGACTATCATTCTCAAGCTACTAAAACACTCTACTAACCCACAGGAAGAAACACAGCTAATAACATCACATAATGTGAGCAATATTTCAGGCCACATTCGTTACGTAATTAGATCAGATTTATTCTTTTTCTCTTTGATATATGGTCCATCATTTCTGCTGATATCAGTTAATACCCATACATACCAATACACCATCTCTAATATCCACATTTACAGCATGCGTGCACTGCAATAGTCTCATTTTTGTTACAGCCTATTAATACATGCCCAATTAAGTGCACACAAGACATTGTAGGCCTTGTCTTCAAAGCCCTAAAGGCACTACAGTGGGTCACTTGCATGATCGGAGGCTTAATGTCAGTGCTACAGCCAAGTGACTCGTCTTTGTTAACCATGCAGATCTACAGTATGAAGCCCAGGAGCTACACATGACCTATCTATGCCTCCATTGAACCACTGAAAAGTATAGTCTACATATACACAATACAGAGAAGCAAACAGAAGCTTGAAGCACAATATTCCATTTCATGATTACATTGCAGTACACTGCAGATAAAAAGAAACTTAACCGAAAATGTGGAAACATTAGTTTACAGAGAGAAAACTGACATTGACTTATGTGCATCATTGCACAGTCATAGCCAAAGGTTCAAGGCTAGCTACTACATAAACATGTCCGTATTAACTGGGCCATTCTCTCAGACAGGCCTTACTAATCTTCATAGTGCATTATGACCATGATGCTTGTCCTTATTATAGCACTGGGTTAAGTCTGAGTGGTTTCTCTTTCATCAGCCATGTGATGAGGTGTCGTTTAAGTGTTTCCATTCATTTGCCCTGCTCTCGCTCTCTCTCTGATCATCATCTATCTTTCATGCTGGCAGGTGCTCAGACAATTAGAGATCTTTACAGTCTCTGGCTCCATAGACAAACACCTTTGATGTGGACACCTTTGAGTATCACTTTGGTATGAAGTGATAGAAGGGCACATGTATTTCTCACAGCTCTCTCTGTACACCACTGAAACACACTGGATCAAAAATACATTTTAGTTTACTCACTGCTGTCACAAAACATAGCACAGATTATTGGCCTGAAGCTCCCACTAACTTTTTCTCATGAAAAATAAGGCTGTTACTAGAGGTGGGCGATATGACAAAAGTGTAATAATACGGTACCTCACAAAGTGTTCACGATACACAATATTTGTCAGAATTTTTTTTTTTCTGACATCTGATATGTTGGAAAACACAACGTAATGCTGTATGTAAAAAATGATGCCAAAAACTATGAAAACAATGATTTGTATTCAACATTTTATATACTAAACTAAATCCAATTAAGCAAGACTAAATATGCTCTCTTTGTGCTAAAAAAGACAATATACTCGGAAATATAGTCACACTCATACGATACACTCAGAAAAGTAAAATGTGACATAGTGTGAATAAATATTGTCATATTACCAAGTCTTAGCTTGTCACTATTGATGATTTATTGATATATATATATATATATATATATCGCTGCTGTCGGAACAAAAGCTCATATCATGAAATGATGTACGTATCATATTGTCATCAGCACACATTTGCTTTAAAAAATTTAGATTTCACCAATATTTCAAACAGACATTTGATTGCAAATTTATTGCATTCTGGAAGAGCAGAACATTTAGGTGACACTGGGCTACTGCGTCATCATTTTATTTACTGCATTTGTAAGCATCTACTCATTAATATTATATTTCTCCGTAATGCTAATTAAAGTGGATTTAGTCTCAATCTCTATATTTCATTATCATTCATGTATCAGCATTGGCAGATATGTGCACAAAAAATATCTGCTATTGGCTGAACAATACTATACTATGCAGGGCCTTTCAAACACTCCAAAACACTTTACTGAAAAAGATAAAACAGAAGACTTCGAAAACACTACATGAAAAAAACATGCATAGATATATGTGTGCCCATCAGTCTCTGTTCCTTACTGCAAGAAAGAGCATTATCAGGATATCTGCAGGTATCAGTTAATTCACTTTAATACTTTTTAATGCCACTTTGAGAGACTGTTGAGAAATCTCTAATGCTGCTTTGAGCCACTCATTCACAGCTGCACATATTATTATACAGCAGTATCTAATGCAGAAATCTTCACTTTATAATTACCCTGAGTACCACTGCTAAGATAATGCTAATTGAATTCTTCTATGGGGATCTCAATGCTAATTTCAACGCAGCTAACAGTGGTTTACATTAACTTCTCGCACAGGGTTTAATAACACTAAGGCCAGCTCTATTTAAACAGACATCTGAAGGATTTGAAACTTGTAACGCACATTGAAGTGGAATATTCCTCACTTTTTACGTTTTACAGTCCTTCAGTAAAGCCTAACTCTGTGTATTACTGGAGCTGCACAGCCTATATAAACAAAATCTTTTGCTTCATATCACTGTATCAAAAAAAATGTCATTTTTTGTCCAAAAGATTTTCATTTTTCTACATAATTTGAACACATCAGCTGCCCTTTACATTGTGTGACAATTTTGGGAAGAATGGACCGATCGAAATGATCCAAAATGACTTGGAATCAAATCGTTCTTACATTAAATGACATTGAGTGTTAAGAACATTTTTTGCCTTTTCCTGTAAAGCTAAAATTTAATTTTACATGCATTTGTGACATCCTGCTGGTGTGGGTTTACTCTTCTTCAGTGATTTGAGTGATAACAGCTCACCCTTGTGGAAAATCTGACAAACACTGTTTTATAATGACCCGCTAATACCCTGATTATCATTCAAGCTACTCACTAATTGGAATTTCACAGAATATACATTTTAACGGATTATTTTTACATGCCCTAATATGCACACCTACACATTATCTTATATGGGATATGAAAAAGGTGATATGGAAAATGGTGCACCATAACATTTCCATTTAACTCACTCGTGCCTGGAGCAATGCAATAGTCCGTTTTATTACAGAGCCAATGTTTTTTGAACATTGACTCATAGCTCACTATATCAGCCAAGGGAAACCACAGACAGCCCACTCGCTGCTGTCTTCAAATTTTCCACATAATTCCTCCACAAACTCACCAGGCTATCTAAAACAGAGCAGGTTTTCATCTGTAAGTGTGACTGCCTTTATCATAAGCATGACTGTGTGTTATTCTCATGCATTTATGACACTGACAGACGTTTATGACATCATGACATTGACTGAGCTGATCGTTACACATTTTAATGATATTTTTCTCTGTATCATGTGAAGTTGAGCCCTCGCTCTCTGTATGAGCTCTGAGCTGTACTCCTATCAGACAATAACAAGAGATCACATTTGAATTTCGGACAGGCACTTAAACCACATGCAATTTGACTTAATGACACAACTACCTGCTATGCAAAATGTATGCTGCCAGATAGACTCAATAAATACATTCACTATTAAGTAGAGAACTCATAGTTTATGGAGAAGCTGTATAACCAGGTATAGTCCTGCATAATATATGGCGTTAAAAATGTCCATGTACATGTTCAAAGAATTGGCCGTGTATGTGTAAATATCTCCACATACGTGTAAAATTACCATGCACATGTCAAAAAATCTCCACATTTCTCCACAAAATGACCATGCAAATTTCAAAAGTGTTCATTTGCATGTAAGAGAGGTTATGCACATATAAAAAAAATCCATGTACATGTAAAAAAAGGCTGCATATGAAAGAAGTGTCCATGTACAATGTAGAAAAGGCCTGTACGCATGTGCGAAAGTCCATGTACATGCAAAACTGCACATGCAAATATACAAACATTTCTATGCACAGGTAAAAATGTGCATGTGCATGATGTGCATGTAAATAAAACCCCAAATGTTCATGAAAACGAAAAATAGAAAATGCAGTATGCAACACCTGCCACATTCACTGGTAAGCCTGCTATCGTGCTGTTTTTTCAGGTGGTTGCACTGGCAGTCATTAAAGTCAGTTTACCTGGTAAGAAATACCCAGAGCCCATCAGCAGGCTCCTCTGGGGAACGTGACAGATGTAGCCCACTGCATTTACTCACGACCCTCTATAGCACACCATGTGGGGTCTCATCCTCCTCCTTACTGACTTACCGTGCGTGTCCTTATACTGGGCCAGGCTGATGTCTTTCAGGGTGTCCCTCCATCCCTCTTCCTCCTCCACCTCCTCCTCCTCCTCTTCCTCCCGCTCCTGCTGGCTGCCTCCCGCGGCTCCACTGCTCGCTGTCCCACTCGATCTCCTCACGTCCTCGGCCTCTCCGCCGTTGTCGGAGTTGGAGTCCCCCGTGGTGCTGTAGAAGGGGTTCTCGCTGCTGTCGTCTCCAGACTCACCGAACACGTCGTCCGATATCTGAAGGCTCTCGTAGCGCGAACGGGCCGCCTCCAGCAGCGACAGGCCCTTTCTGCCACACTCCGCCATCACGCGTCACGATCCGGCATGCAAGTGACCTCCTTACGGGCCAAAGCTCCAGCATGCAGCCGCGCTCGCCCTGCCTGCGCTCCGGCAGAGGCTGCTGCGCTGCCTGCGGTCACTGAGACTGAGAGGAGACGGGGCGGCGCTCAGACTGGAGCTGCTGATGCTAACAGAGCTCAAACAGCGCGGATACACTGAGAGGACAGCATCCAAAAACTACTGCTGAAACAGAGAATCCGGGCTGGGTGTCTCTCTCTCTCTCTCTCTCTCTCTCTCTCTCTCTCTCTCTCTCTCTCTCTCTCTCTCTCTCTCTCTCTCTCTCTCTCTCTCTCGTGTATTGAATCGCCGGCTTCCTCAGAAATCACCTGACTCGGTCTCGCTCCGCTGTCCAATAGCATTAGTGTCTGAACAGAACGTCACATCTTAACATTTTTCATATACAGGCTGAGAGAGATTATATATGTATGTATGTGTAATATATGTATAGATATTATTTTTTTTATTTATTACATTGATAAGTACACACATTCATTGAAGAGATATACAAGTATATATATACAGATGAATATATATATATATATATATATATATGTATATATTCATCTGTATATATATGTGTGTGTGTGTATATATATATATATATACGTATATATACACACATATATATATATATACACACATACATGTGTGTGTGCAGTGGACCACATTGATAATCTGTTGGGGTTTTTTCATTTAAACTTGGAAATGATAACAGAAAGTTTTATGATTTTGCAAAAATTAAAACAGAGTTAACTGAAGTAAAAAGAAGGAAAACAGTTCTGCAGTATTTCTGTTTGAATATTCAAATTTAGCAAATTAAGTCTTTCTACAAAAAGGTTAAGAAATTTATTAAGAAATTCATCTAAATATTTCAAAGATTCTACTTTTCACTCAAATTGTTATGGTGAATAATTTTCAATAGCTATAAACACTTCAGTGTGCCTTGGCCTAGGTTCTACAAGGCTCTGGAACTGCATTGAACTGCATTGAACTGCATCCCCTCAATTGGCCATGGCATATGATTTAAATCATTTGAATTACATAATAACATACTCATAAAACCATTCATGCTCTGTGGATGGGGGAATTGTCACCCTGGAAGAAGCCACTCCCATCAGGATAGAAATGGTTTTTCATAGGATAAAGGTGATCAATCACAATATGTTTGTATTGATTTCCCTCTAAGGCAGGGCTGTCAAACTGGATTCCTCTCGGGTCCCAGGTCTGCAAAGATTAAGGCCTTGCTAATTAGCTGATGAGATCAGGTGTGTTCAGTGAGGCAAATTGTTAAATTCTGCTGAGCTGTGGCCTGAAAGGAATGCAGTTTGACACCCCTGCTGTAAGGGGACAATGGACCCAAACCGACCAGCATAACAGAGCCACCAGACACCCCTACTGTAGTAGTCAAACATTCAGGCCTGTGCCATTTTCTTTGTGTACACCACACATGTGCTCGCCCACTTGCAAAGGATATGATGACTGATGACTCATCTGACCATCACTTTTATAAACAGCTCTGTGGACCAGTACCTGTGGTTTTTACACCACTGACTTCTCAAATGTGCATTCGTGTTTGTAATGAGGGTTTTATGCACCTCAACCTTACTCTAACTGATCTTTTTGTGTAGTTGCTGACTGGGCTATTCTTGCTGATGCCATGTGATCATGTCCTGCGTTGCTATTCTCACCTGAGGAACAGTTAATCTTCTGTTTGTCCGCACATATCACACTAGTGTACACATGTATGCTGCATTTAGGTCAATAAACGTGAGCTTTTGTCTCTCCCATAGATTTAGGTGCAAATTTTAGTCACTTTAGTCACTGTTGCTATTGTAACTCTAGACAGAGCAGTCTTTGTGACTGAAGCTCCTGCCATCAGTTCACCATTAATATCCTCTTTCAAAGTCACTTTGATGTTTTCTTCTTGCCATTAATACATACATACACATACATACGTGTGTGTGTATATATATATATATTATATATATATATATATATATATATATTATATATATATATATATATGTATATATATATTGGTCCATATGTATATAATTAAAGAAAAACCATGAATACATTGCACTTCACACTTGCAATTGTACGGAAGTATTAACTTTAGTGTCATTATTTTGTGGGACAACATCCAACCAAATCCGGGCAAAATGAAACTGCCACAGCAACCTATCAACACTCATTAGACACTACATCACACTGAACACCACCACACAAAGGAAACTTTTTGCTTTTATATACTTAAGTATGTTTCAATATTGATACTTTTTATGTTTACTCAAGTATATTTTTTTGCTCTATACTTCTACTATTAATTAAATAATATTTTGATATAGTATCCATATTTTTTCCTGAATATAGTTTCTCTGTACTTTTTCCACCCCTAAACTTAAAATGTCTGTACAGATATATTATTTCAATGCGTAGGTAGATGTGCTGTATATGGATCATTCTACTGAACTGGTTCAAAGTCAGAGTTGAAACATTTCAGACTTTTAACTGACTTAGACTTTGGACTAAAATCATTTTGCTTCAAATGATGCTCTTAATCATGTTTATTTTATTAAAATACTTGACTGAACATTCCATTTTGTTACTACCAAAACAATCATAACACTACTAAAACTTTACCAAATGTTCCCAGAGTGACAATTTTTGCTAATTTTGAGCATAACTTACAAACGCTAGCCGGTACATGATTAGCAAACACAGCTTTGAACAGTTGTACACACATGAAATCATAATATTTTTCCCTAAAATGCAATGTTCACATTAATTGCAGTAAATATGTGTTTCAGTAGTGACAATTCTTAATGTTACACACTGATATTCAGACTTTGGGACACATATACTTCAAAACAGTTGAATCTAACTAGGGATGCAGTCTCACGTCTCACTAAAACGCAGGGGTGTGGCTAAAATGAGGCTCTGCTTAGAAAACACATCTATCTACACACACACACACACACACACACACACACACGCATACACACACAATTTCTAAACTGCTTATCCTTCTGGGTTGTGGTGGGGTGCTGGGGTCTATTTCAGTGCTCACTGGGCAGAAGGCAGGAAACACCCTGGACAGGTCGCCAGTCCATCACAGGGCAGACAAACACAATTTATTAATTTATAAAATTAGCAATTTAGCATATCCAGTCGGCCTGACTGCATGTCTTTGGGCTGTGAGAGGATACCAGATTACCTGGAAGAAACCCACGCAGACACAGGGAGAACATGCAAACTCCACACAGTAAGGACCCTGGACGCCCAGCCAGGGAACCGAACCCAGGCCCTTCTTGCTGTGAGGCAATGCAGTACTTTAATAGTTTAATTTAACAGAAGATCTTTTTGGCTATTTTGTTTTGTTGTATTTGTAATAAGGAATCGTAAAACATAAGGTCCTTATAGAATAGCTGAAAATTAGGATGCCATGACTGGACGGATTTGTGCATATGAAATTTGCCCAATAAGGTTACTAGTTTCATAACCTTATTGATTTTACATGAACTTGTATCATAGTTTAGAAGAAGACCATCCTCTCATTTATAGGAATAGACTTGTGCAAGGGCATGAATACCATTAAGGAAATTTCCTTCCAAAATTCCTTTGAGAAAATGCAGTTACAATATAGGTGAATGATTGTTTCACTGTGGCTTCAGTTTAAAGGGAATCAAAAGGATCTTTTAAAGCCAATGTTTAAAAAAAATACAAAAAAATGTAAATACTATTTTCACAGGTGTAAGATTAGGAGTTAGGGTTCAGGACAGACACCTCCCAATAGAAAGTACCCTAAGTAAATGATGATTTTGTATATATTTAGCTATTTACTATCTCAAGTAATGCCTCGGGTTTAAATAAATTATAACATAATCCTCGTAAATATCTAAGGTCTAATATGTTTTTGAAACTTTTTTAAACCAATTCGGTGGAGTGGTCGAGATACTGTAACTTCAGGCTGGAGTGGTGCGCCGCTGCTGGAGCCCAGCAGGGGGCGCTGGAGGGGAAAGTCCGTTTCAGTTCTGCTCGATCGTTCGTGCCATGTTTGCGGAAGTGTCTACATGGAGCTGATGCACATTTATGTGATTTAGTAGAAAAATGGACTTTAAAACCTCAGATTTTCAGCAATAAACACACACTCGGAGCATTCCTGTATCTACTCAAGAATGATGAACCTGCCGAAGGGACCAGACTCTTTGTGTTTTAACAAGGAGGAATTTATGAAGGTTGGTTGTGTGAATTAGCGAGCAGCAGAGTGAACCACGGAACAGAACAGGACAGGTCAGCACGGCGCAGACAGCAGAGGAGACGTTTATTAACACTGTTTTACAGAGTAAATCCCTTTACTGCAGCTCTGAGAAGAGAAGGTGGAAGGCAGTACGACGTGTTTCCTGCTGTCGACGCTTAGCTAATTTCCAAATTTTCATTTAGACGCTGAACATCAGGAGATTTTGCTAGGTTAGCTAACTAGCTAAATACATTAGCTAAAGTTTGTTGAAGCATTAACATTTTTGGGTTATAGTCAGTAAACTGCTTCAGAAAATGAAATCCTTAGGTAGCTAACCAATCCTAAGAACGTCTACCCGTAACCAGTGTTAGATATCTTACTATGAATATTTATAATCTTAGCTAGTTAGCTAACCTAGCTAACCAATAATAAGGTCTCCTTAGTAATAGTTATTATTAGTGTGTGACTTGACAGAATAAACTCATTCTATGTTTTAAGATGGATTTGTCATGCTAATGTACAGAGTTAGGTAAGGCAGCTAGTGCACCTTTCTCCTGTCCTGTCTCTGGTCCACCCTCCCTGACCACATTTCTCTGTTTTTGCAGGATGACTTTGACGTGGACAGATTCGTGGCTGAGTGCAGAAAGCATGTCCAGCTGGAGCAGATGCGGGAGGACCTGGAGCAGTATTACAGGCTCCTCAAAACTGCCATGGTCGAACTCATCAATAAAGACTATGCTGACTTTGTCAACTTGTCCACTAATCTTGTAAGTGTGGCCTGGCTTTTTATTTGTTGTTTTCAGTAACTTCCTTCAAAAGATGAGTGAGAATTGGTGATTTAGAACATGCCATCTGTTTGGCTGTATGTGTCCGTCACCTGCCTTATTTTTGTGTTTAGGTTGGAATGGATAAAGCCCTCAACCAGCTCTCTGTCCCTCTGGGCCAGTTGCGTGAAGAGGTGCTGGTAAGCTTATGATTTTGCAAGATTATTATTTTGCTTCTGCCATTCTACAATTTAGACGTTGTATCTCTTTTTGTTTTCTGGGACTTTTTTTTTATTAGCATGCCTCTCATAGCATTTTCTTCACTTGAGCAGAGTCTGAGATCAGCAGTCAAAGAAGTAATCCAAGCCATAGACACACAGTTGTCCAAGCAAGATGACATTCAAAAGAAGAAGGTGTGTTTTTTTATTTATTTCTTTTGTGGAATGTTGATTCAGGTATGAAGATATGAAGAAAATTAATGGAGAAGGAGCATCAAAGTTATTTTGTTAGATCATGTTGGAGTAGCTTGAATATTTTTTCAACCTTGAAAGTTGTGGGTGCAGCTTCATGGTGCTTTTAACATGAACTTCATCTCCTTTACACTTTGAATTAGATCTGTGTATTAAGGCTCATCCAAGTTGTTCGATCAGTGGAGAAGATTGAGAAAATCCTACACTCTCAAAACACCAAAGATACAACATCTCTAGAAACAAGCAGGTAACTTCAACTTTATTAATGTAAGATGTCCCAGCTGCAGTCTTTAATGGTGATTATGACTTGCAAAGGCATAACAATGAATCTGAAATTATGTTCAAGGTTTCGTTCACATTTTGTTTCTGTGAAAGTGCAAAGGAGTAGCAAGCTCAGTAGATTCAGGTTAACCTCTTTATGAAGCAGTTTGCAGTAGACTAAATGAACCTTCTGAATACAGGCAGAATATCAACTAAACGCTTAGCTCACATTCTTGTTCTTTAACGTCACTGTTTATCTGGTTTCTTTTGAAGTCCTCTCCTAGCGGGTCAGATTCTGGAGCGAATTGCCACTGAGTTTAACCAGCTGCAGTTTCATGCTGTCCAGAGCAAAGGCATGCCGCTGCTGGATAAAGTGCGACCGGTGAGCTCTGTTTTCACAACCGCACTGCTTCTCTCACCATTCAGAGGAGCTCATTTCAGCCACAGTGTAGCACCATCACTTTGATATGAACCGACAGCAAAAATATCAATTGAGTATGTGGTGAAAGAAAAATGTAATAGTTTTATATAGTTAGTCCAAATCTGAGGTCACATTAAAAATCTGGGATTTCATTTAAACCTGGAAATAAACAGTAATGCTTTAGAATTCTAACCAGTTTAAGACAAAGAAAAGTTCAGTTAAATGAAGGAGAAATATTCAAGATTCTGCACTATTTCTAGGTCACTGTTCCTAGACCGCACTGTGTGAATGTGTGTGTTTTGAACACGTGTGGTGTTTAAATATATATATTTATACACACACACACAAACGAACACCAGCACAAGTTAATCAATGTGCTTTTTGTACACATAAAAGGTGAAATACCAGCTCAAGTTCAAGACCTATCATCAATGTTGCTTAACTCAGTCCTTTTTAAAGTCCTTTGGGCAATTCCCTACATGTGGCTGGGAGGTCAGCGTCCTTCCCTCTCCCACGCCAGGGAAAGTCAGGAGGAGCGCGTACCACGTGTTAGCAGGAATGGCGGCTATTCTGCCTCTCCTCCACCACAAAAAAAAAAAATACACACATGGATTTGCATATTTACATAAAAGCTCAAGTGTATTTGTATAAAAGCTCAAGGTGATGTAGATAAAAAACAAAACATGGTAAAAAGAATAAAGAGTAATACACAATGTAAAGTAAGATATATTTAGTGGAATTTGGATGAATGAAATACAGCGATGGTAGAAAAGAAAATAAATAAAATATAGTTGATTATAGATTGAGGCAGAGTGTGTTGTTTGTGTTGCAGAGGATTGCTGGCATTACTGCGATGCTCCAGCAGTCTCTGGAGGGTCTGCTCATCCAGGGTCTGCAGACATCAAACGTGGACATCGTGCGGCACTGCCTCCGCACCTACGCGACCATCGACAAGACCAGAGATGCAGAGGCTCTAGTGGGACAAGTCTTAGTGAAGCCTTACATGGATCAGGTATGTTTTTAAGGCTACTCCTGAAGTTGAATAATGTGGCATTTTGTTGGATCTTGGTCACAGAAACGCAATGAGCAGTCCATTAGTTCCAAACAGAGCCATTACTTTACATTCTTGCCTCATAAACCAGTTAAAGTGTTGTAGATATGAAATAGCCCAAAATTATTTACCAGAGGTTCTTATGATCAAAATAGACCCAAATGTAATGTTGCAAGTTAGATATGTCAATACAGTTAGTAAATTCACTGTATATAACTGCATAGACATTTTAGCTAGCTAAGTTTGTTCTTGCATCTTGAGATGATACAAACAAAATCATGTGAGAAGCACAGAAGACATTCAGAGCTGCGGTTATTACAGGATGAGTCTACTGCTTAAGAACAAAAATACCATATACGTCCCATGGACATCTGTAAAATACATTACCTAAAATCATAATAAATACTAAGCTTGTGGGCTACACTGACCAAAAAATTAACGTTATTAATCAAACATTTCTGTTCTGGTTCGGTTGCATTTTTCATTCCTAGCAAAATACCTTCCACTTCCAATTTTCATTTTCATTCTCGGGAGTATTTCGCAAAGGTGGGTTTCTGAGTTAGCCAGAGAACCTAAGCCCAAAGTTGAGAATTGTCCATGAGGAATGTCCCTCAGGCTTGACTGTAGTCTTAAATTATCTCACTAAACTGAAAAATCTTGCTTTGTTAAATAACCCCTTGCAGGGACCTTTTATTTTAACGGTACCACCTATTTACATACCTGATGGGATCTTGCTGACTGAAGCACCTGTTGTATTTAATAGGTCATAACTGAACAGTTTGTAAAGTCCAGTCCTAACGGTCTTCAGTTGATGTACGCAAAGCTTCTGGAGTTTGTGCCTCACCACTGCCGACTGCTGCGAGAGGTCACAGGAGGAACCATTTCCAGGTATGTTGTGTTTTGTTATGGAGCATTAGACTTGGAAAGCTAGAAATTCTTCTGGAACTGCTCTTTATAGTGCAGCATACAAACTATCGACATAGTACAGCTATGTTAAACTCTTGTTTCAAACCAAGGGTTTCTTCTTTTGTAAAGTTAATCTAATGTATATTTGAATTGGGTGGGGTTGTTGATTTTGGTGTAACCTCCAAAGGTGAGTAAGAAGAGCCATTGATAAAAATAGGTTTTCCGTTTTGAGGAGCAACAGCCAAGATAACTATGTCACTGTAAATCAGGAAAATGATGATAATACTGAATGTGCAACATGATACTGGATATTTTTTCCTAGTGACAAATCTGACATCGTGCCAGGGTATGACTTCCTAGTTAACTCTGTCTGGCCTGAGATCATTAAAAGTGTTGAGGGGAGGATGTCTTTCCTCTTCAATCCTGGCAACCCTGATGCTTTTTATGAGGTAAAAATAGTCATATATACATTTACATATGCAGAACTCTGATGCATTTATGCAGAATTACCTTTAACTGTCCTTTTGTTTTGGACTCCTTGCAGAGATACTGCATTAGCATGGACTTTGTACGGAAGTTTGAAAGACAGTGTGGCTCTCAGGCTAGTGTGAAGAGACTCCGAGCACATGCCTCCTACCAAAGCTTCCACAACAAGTGGAACCTCCCTGTGTACTTTCAGCTACGGTGAGTGACGGAGTGTGCAGAACATGCTTTATATTCTGGCTCTTTTTCTCTAGTGATTTTGTTAGAGCTGATGCTGGTTTAGTCTTCATCCACATGTGTCCAGATAGTTGGTTCTATATAGCATGGAAAAGCGTTCTGCTATTGTTACAATACATATAACAATGGAAGAACCCTTTTTGGTGCTATATAGAACACTGAAAAGTTTCCAACGTTCTCCGTGCTGGAGAGTGTTTTTAAAATGTCCCTATTTTTAGTGAGTGAAAATGGTGTTTTTGTGTGGATGTAGGGCCAAAGTGCAAAGAAAAAAAAACTACATTTTCAAAAAATATCCGGATAAAAGAGCATGTGAGCGGTGTGGAGTGGGAGTGAGGCAATGTGATTCTTGCTTGGGGCGCAGAGCGGATTTTCCGAGAGTCTGAGCATCAGTGTTCTCTCTCACTCCAAAACGGCTCCAGTATTGCTCCTTCCTGTGAGCTAGACGGTCCTGTTTTTCCACACTGACCACCTCTGAGTACGAAATGAGTGATGCGGCAGTGGCTCTACAGCTCGCACACGACGGCCATTCATACACAGTGTGTGCACTGCAGAGCTATTCAGCAGATATACATTCTGGAAATTCTTACCGATCACAACAAAGTCTACAGAGATTACACAGAGACAATGTCATGTTGTCCATTTTGCCGCACAAATGATAAAGTAGCGCATGTTAAAAGCACATGGATTTGTTTCACTGTAAGTATAGGCCTTCCAAAAAAGCCTGGGTAGCATAGTGTTTAACTAGTTTTTCATTTATTAACAGCCATAAATTATATAATTTATGAAATTAAGTGTGTAGTGTTTTGTCCATACATTCAAGGCATAAAACAAATATCATAAGAATGAATCATAAATTGAGAGAATAGATAAACAAAAGAAGGCAATATTTACGCTGTTAATATTACTGCTGTTATTAAATATGGCAAAAAAGAAATCTAGTGGAAGATGTGATTTAGTATTGTAGTATTTAACTAGGGACATTTATTTTAGTATAATTATTCAAAGTCTTTAGAAAGTAAAATTTGTTCTTGCCTAAAATGTGTTTAGGTATTGGAGAGGATTTTAAAAGGGGCTGGTTCTTACACTCTGCTGTACTGTTTAACTCCCCCTGATTTGTTGAAAAAGTAGTTAAACTTGTTAAACTTGCTGCGTGTCCTGGAAAATGACTCGGCTCGATAGAACATGAGTAATATTTCCATGCCCATATCTGAAATGTAATTTGTCAGTGGAAGCTCCTCATGGATGAAATATTTTATGCAGTAGGTTTGAATGGGTGAGAGAGATCGATCGTTGTTTAAAGTTTGGACAGTGTGTGCTTTGCTTTGTTTATTTTGAGCCTCCACTCGTCATAAAGTCCATTCTAGTAAACTCTGCTTGCTGTATTTGGTTTGTTTTCCAGACGTGGTTCAAATGTTGTCTTATTGTGCAATGGATTATGGCTATTCTTGGAATTATAATTCTTATTTGCCTTGACACTGGATGTGTGTCCATACTGTTGTGCATAGTGTCTGGTTCCATTTGTTGAGTTTAGTAATATTTTGCCAAAAGTCATTTGTTTGTACTGAATGAGGAACTTTTATTACTGTTTTGACATGTGTGCATGAGCTGCCCTGTTAAGTCTGATACAATAATTTGAAAGTCCGAGGCATGGGGTCAGATTTTGCAGGAGTTTTTCACATCACGTCACACTTCTTTACATAATGCAGTCATGCGACATGCTCAAAAAGAAGGTCCGGCTCGATATCTCAAATACAAAATCAACATTATACTATTGAAGATACAACAGTTGTAGATAATTCAATTACATCCTCAGAAGACACGTCCTTCATCAGGTTTTGAGTACTCTTTTAACACGCTCGGAAACATCAGATTCATGTGCTCAGAGAAGATGTTCGAAGCACGACCGATATTGCAAAATGTTCTTCCACACAGTGCATTCAAATTCCACATCATCACCAGAGAGATCTCCAATTCTTACATAGAGTAGGTTTAAGTATATGCTGCTATTATGCAAATTATTGTTTTTTATTCACTTTCAAATTTTTTTTTATTTTGCATATATTTCACCTTTCCATTTGAACAGTCATTCTAATCTACCTTTAGTTAAAAAATGTATACAGTAGAAAAGATTGCACTTAATTATGAGCGCTACACACTACATACATTGAATGGGACTGAATGGGGGAAAAAACGCTGTATTACATGTCATCTGTGCAGCATATAGTTTTTTATAAATGATTATGTAATATTATGATCATTATATTACCATCAGAGAAAATGGAAGCTGTGGGGTTTCTGTAATGCTGACATGCGGTATTTTGTAACTGAATTTAGGTCAGAGTGATATAGTTAATTCTGCAGATGATAATCGTTTGTCTAAATTTACATTATTGTCCAGTCTTACTTGCTCATATGATCATTTTTCAGTAATTGCATTCATTTTTTTGCTTGAAAAGTGAATAGTATAAATTCATAGTCGCGTGTTTGTGAAAACACCTAAACCTTTGAGGAATAAGGCTAATTATTGAGTGCAATATTTCATTTGTGAAATATACACAGCCAGTGTGGTCCTTGACCTCTTGGACTGGATCTGTTTTTTAGGTACAAGGAGATTGCTGGATATTTAGACAACGCCATTACAGATGGATTAGAAGCAGCTCCAGGTCAGTTGAATCTGAGTCTCCATACTGTGAATACAAAAACTGCATGCTCTGGCATATTTGGCTCTATTTATCATGCTATGCAAAATTAACCCACGTTTCCTTCTCTGCCTCTTTGTATATCTGGTTTTGTTTGTGTAAAGTGGGCAGCCGCTACCGGCTGCAGGTGACGGAGGTGTTATGGAGCTGTGTGTGCAGGTGTTGGGCGGAGCACATCTACCTGCCCCCGCTGGCTCATCGTTTCTGGAAGCTTACGCTGCAGCTGCTGTCCAGATATGCCGCCTTCCTCACGGAGGTACAGCACTGCAGCACAAAGGCTGAAACAGCCATTCCTGATATCCTGGCTTTAAAGCTCAGTAGCTGGTTAGAGCTGTACACTATGAGCTAGCAGACTGCTGGTTTAAATCTAAACCAGCTTTTGGAGAGACTTGGCAAAAGAGGGTAACAGGTTACACTGGTTCCATCCCTGTTTATTTAGGGATTCTGCAAGTCTATGTAGAGCTCTGTAAGCTCTCCTTTAATGCAACGTGGTCATTCTTTTTAGCCTTGGTTGTCTTTGTTGTCAGAAGTATTACTGGTGACATTATTCTGAAAACCAGCTGGTAGTATGGCACACTGTCTTCAGTGTTCAAGCCTCAAGCCAGAAAGAAATCACAATATTGGTTAGAAAAAAAACAATTAGGTATGTCTACTAAATTGTTCTGTCCTAGCTTAATATTAAAATTAAAATTAATATTAAAATAATGTAGCGAAAGAATAGATTTATATTTGCTTTAGGCTAGCTTAGTTAAAATTTGGTTAGCTAACTGTGCCAGTATAACTGGACACAAAATGTCAAACAACACAAATTAGGCTAATGCAGGCTTGTTTTATACCTGGATGTGGCAAAAAGAAATGTTACCGTGACACTTTTATACCAGTGGTTAACTTTACATTGCTGTGTTCCTATGAGGAAAAAAAAAACAAGAGAAAACAGAAATAAATGTTGGAGGCCTCACATTCAACTGGTCTTGAGTCCGCTTTGCACCAAGACCAATATTGAAACCAATGTTGACTCTGGACAAGAATACTACCACTTTTTAAAGTACACAAATTAATGTAGATGCTTAATTCACTCTAGTTGCTGCTTAATAGTAGAGTAATTAGCAGCCAGTTAACCAGCTGGTGGCTTGATGATGCTTAATAAGGGCATGATAAGTGCTCTGGGAAATGCTTAATTCCCCCTAATTACTACTTAATATTGTAATAAAGGGCAGCCAGTCAATTAGTGGTAATTGGCTTGATATGCTATCTACCAGCTATTGGCTTGGCACAGATTATGCAGCTGAACACCTAAATGTTGTGCAAAAGATTGTCAAATAAAAAAGTCCTCTGGAAACTGTTCATTTCACCCTAATTATTGCTTAATTGTTGTAGATGGTAGCCAATTAATTACTAATGACTAGCTTCTTAAGGCTTTATAATCATCACAGGGGCATTATAATGTCCCTCATACTACCCCAGTTGTAGTCGATCAGCCAAAACATGTTTGGTGCCGAAAGCGCTAATGTAGCTAACTAGTAATAGAAGCTTATTGTGACTAGTTAGACTCTCAAACAGACTCGTTTTTGTGGTTTTATTTGGTGTGAGGGGGAAAGTTTTTGTCCAATTTTTGTCCAAACCATCACCTAGTAGTATGTAATAGACTCTCTTCTTCCTCTATGGCCATGTAGGTCCTAACAAAAACCCCGCCTCCAGAAACTACCAAAGACCCAGTGAGGCCGCTGCCAAGCTCTGCCTCCTCCACATCAAGCCGCACCTCTCAAGATGCAGATAGCGAGAGTGGAGGCCCCACGGCGCTGTCCACCAAGCAGCTCGTCTTCATCGCTGCTGATGTGGACCAGTTACAGGAGCAGGTATTATGGGGAAGACATGCTATGCATTGAGGGTTGCTGATTAACAGAGATGATGAAGTATTAGTGAGTAATACACAAACACAAAATTGTTTTTTTGGTTTTTTTCTCCTACAGGGAACAATAAAGGAGAACAAACTTTAATATGCAAATTTTAGTGCACAATTTCTATTTATTTGCTAAGCTTAACATATCGGGGAAAAAATACAACATAACATATTAAATGTGCCATTTTTTGCCCAGAGCACACTTTTTGTTTAACTTAAGATCTTGTAGATCATCCTGTTGATTGTATTATTATGAATCTTATGGTTTTAGATTCCAGAAATTTCTGTGATGATCAAAGACAAACTGGAAGGAATTGGATTCAAAAACTTTGCCCTTGTTTCAGGTATGGGTCAGTGCTGATGGATAGTTTTGAAAACAACAAAGGAGCTCTGGAGCTATACCTTCTTCCCTGTCTTTCTGCTTGATTTTCAGATGCCTTGGATGACTCCAGAACCGCCTTGTCTGGGTGCATCCCAAAGCTGAACAATAGGATGAATCAAAATTTGACGGAGAGGAGCTTCCGCTTCCTGAAAAATGCTTCAGAAGTCCCACGACTTTATCGAAGGACCAACAAGGTCAGCTGGAGCACTGGGCTTGCGGTCTCTAATGACAATACCAAATAAACTAGGAATGCACCAATCAGGAAAGAAAGACCAATTCCAATTTCTTTACAGCCAGTTGATTTTTATTAATCTTTTTAAACCAAAGCTCACACTGTATAGAGTAAATGAACACATAAGCACACTAGCACATTTCCAGTACTTTCTGTTAGTCAAACAGCTGCCTGTTTAAATAACATGAATCAAATAAAGTGCTACAGTGAAAGTAAGAGGCACCTGGCTATTTAGCACAATGAGTCATGCATAATTATGCTATGACATTTTGGTGTAGAAGTTGTAGCAGCCTTCAAACGCAGCATGAGTGCACATACCTGCCTCACATTTTTTACCTCGTGAAAGTGCAACGCAAATCTTGCAAAATCAAACCTAAACTGTAAAAAGTGAAAAGCAAGTTGGCTGATTGCTCATTTTTTGCTTTGAGCAAAAATCTGCCAGCCAAGGCCAGGAAATTATTTGTCATTGAGTCAATGAATTTTTGTAATGTTTGTGTTTGATTGATTGTTGTCATCTTTCCCTCCCCCTACCCCTTATTTTCCCGTGGAACTGCTATGATGCAAGAAATATTTCAGAGAAATCTGACAGTAAAGTGTATCGTATTGTATCGAATTGAAGCACCATGTCTTTATTTGTCAAATGTTACCAAACAACACAATTAATTGCTGACTTGGTCATCTTTGACAGGAGGTGCCCACCAGAGCCTCAGCCTACATGGATAACGCTTTGCGGCCGCTGCATCAGCTGGTCAGTGACTCGACAGGGGTGGTGAAGGTCTCAATCATCCACGAGTGGCTTCGTGTTACTATTTCAGACTGCACCCACAGGTAGTTTGCATATATATATAGTACTGCACAAAAAAGCACCTAAGCACATTATTTAAGGACATTTATTTTGGCAATAAGTATGTTTGTGTGTGTAATAAAAACATATCATTAGAATAAATGCAGTAAAATATAGCAAAATTATTATTTTTTTTAATTACTTGATCTCTCATGAGTAGTAGAGGTTGATATACTGGTGGAAATTCCTCTTAAGGTATTAGTTTTATCATTACTGGTATGCACATAAATGCAGATAATGCAAGATACAAACAGTACAAAAGAGAGTAGAAGGAAAAGACTTCTCTTGGGGTTAGCTGTTAGCCCTAGCTTCTCAGCTGAAACTAATAGTGTGATCTGTTTGTAATATTTACTAAAGTCCAGCAGCATGTGGTGGTCGTGGTTTAAAGCTTGAGAGTAGGAGACACACCTATGAGACAAATGACTTTCAGATGTAAAACAACATTCAGCACTGTTTTTATGAGACTCAAGTTTGTTTCCTATTTGCCAGCTTCTTTCTCGAATTTGCCCATTGCACCTTAAATGGTGGAGCAGTTACATTCTGGTGCCTGGGGCCCTAGCTAACTTAGGCTTTGAAGCATTTTTGCAGCGCTCCGAGCAGCTGCTGTGGGCTTTACATACACTCGTCTTCATCTCAGTAGTGCTAAAAAGCAATGTAGATATCTGACTAAGTGTTGTTCATTTCTGTTTTTACTGTTTTGCCCAGTAACATTTAGATTTACTTCAGTTGTTAAATATGGTTCTTATTAAAAGTGAAGGGACATCCAGAATAATATGCCATTGTTACTCTACAAAAAAGGTTTACTTAAGCATCCAAAATGGTTTTATTTGAAACAAATATACATAAATACACTATACCATGATATATACTGAAGCCATCAGTAATCTTTATTATACCATGATATAACTTTTTGCCCATATCACCCACTACTACTCGTGAGCTAGTTTGGAAAAACAAAGTTTGGTTCCAGATTTCTCCTCAGCACCACCAGCCATCACAAAAATTTGTTAAATTCTATCACCAGGACCCTTTATTCAGCATAATAAATAGAAAGTATATGTTCAGGACGGTGACTTTATTTGATAACAGGCTGGTTATCAGATAACACTACAGGAATGTACAGTAAAGCTTCTAGCTCTGCTGTAGTGCTAGTTTCTTCTCTCTTTCTAAGATACTTTGAGACCATATCTGATGTGCTGAGCTCCGTGAAGAAGATGGAGGAGAGTCTGAAGAGGTTGAAACAGGCGAGGAAAACAGCCACAACCAGCACAGCAGGAGCCAACACTGGGCCCTCTGACGACACTAAGATCCGTCTGCAGTTGGCTCTGGATGTGGAGTATCTTGGAGAGCAGGTACAAATTTCACGTCCATTTTTATCAAAAATCCAATTTTCTAGCTTAGTCATGTGAATCCATCTTTAGGCTACTACATTTTAAAAACTCTAGCCAGGGCAGGGGAAGTGTAGCCTTCTCTAAAGTGTCAGAACATCAGTTTTTTCCTGTTATGCATTCTGCAGAACAGTAGAGCATGGTAAGTGACTAGAGCTCGAAATATCTGTCAGAACCCGACAGGGCCCAACTGCTCATGTCATTTAATGATCTAATGATGGCTATTATTGTCCACAACATGTTAATGTAACTGATGGAATCATTAGAAATATCAGGTTTTATTGAGCGATAATGGCACTATGGGTTATGATGGGCCAGTTCGGGTCAGTGTGGTACAATTTTGTTGAGCTCGGGTGAGTTTCAGACTTAGAACTTGATGTGGTTCAGGACGCACCTTGACAAAATTTTGTCAGGCTTGGGTCAGGGTTTGACCCAAAACCTGGTGCTGTGGGTAGGGTTGGGTCAGGCTCGGACAGAAAGTTCTCTGGCTGTGTTTGGTTTTCGGATCAAAATTTCAGGCCTGTTTTAAGCTGACAGTGACTCAGAAGCGCAGCTGTGTTGATTCATGCAGCTGGGGTTGATTCATTCCTACTAATAGGTTAACAATAAAGCTTAAGCTGAGGTAGTATTTTTATTGTCATCACAAAACTTTTAACTCCCATTTTTTGGAAACACCAGCTGCCTTTTACATTGTGTGAACATTTTAGCGTGAACAGACAATTAGAAATGGTCCAAAATGACTTGGAATAAAATCTTTTTTCATTCGTAAATTAAAATTGAAAACAATTTCCCTTCACAACTGAAGTTACTACTTTGGAGATACCAGTTTTTGTTGTAGCACAGTCATGTATGTATATTTTAAGTGCATGTTTAAGTATTTCACAAGGCTGAAAGCACATTCTGCCTTTGTTACATTTAACAGATTCAGAAGATGGGTCTCCAGCCAAGTGACATCACCATGTTCTCCTCTCTCCTGGACCTGGTGCAAGAAGCGCGTGATCTGGCCACAGCAGAGCAGGCCGGCTCCTAAAGGTCACCTTCAGGGTGCCCTCATCCTACGTAGACAGGAGGTGCTCAAACCGAATGGCTTCAGCAAGCACATGCTCTAAGTGGTGAAGGGAGAATCGTTCGTAAGTTGCAGTTCTTGGAGCCCTGTAGGTCGTATTACAGATATGAGGCAAAAATCACAGCTGATCCCAGGACTGTAACCTCTGCCTGTGCGGTGAAGAAGCACACTACAAGAATGTGTCTACATGTTCATATGTTATTTATTGTTAAATCTTATCTGATAATATGTGAAGAAATAGGCCTCATATCAAGGTTAACATGGTTAGATTGTATATTATGCAATGTGAATTCTAAAGGTTTTAGGATTCAAGACATGAGGACTTCATTTGAAGTGAATTGGCAGTGGGGTTAGTATGTCATGAGGTGTCATGGTGTTGTTATGACCTGTCATTCACAGTTACATCAAGTAATGACAGCTGATGTGACAACTTATGACACGGAACCTAGTCTTCTAAAACTGGTGTCACGACCTAAGCGTTATCTGTCAGAATCAATAACACTTCAGCCACAGTGTCACCTCTGAGGCCTGCCAATCAACATGAAGCCTCACTGGATCCTTCTGGCATTTTAAACACCATGTTAACATGGCTGTTAGCATTTACATGTTGTTTTACTGGACAAAAATGGGACTTCTGTAACTTTTAACCATAGCTTTGACAATAAAATGTTTGGATAATATGCCTCACTTTACTGCTTGTTAATGTTTTGCCACCATGGCCTCATAGGGTAATTAGAGAAGGTCAGTAACTGTATCTGCAAATACACTTCAAAGCTTTGCGTTTTACATCCATTTGAATTTCTGTCTCCTCTGCTGAATTTAGTGTTTATTGTATAATGTCGTGTTGTATGTGGGTCATTTAGGAAGATCACTTTGAAAAGAAGTTCTCAGACTTTAATTAAACGATTTTGCTGTACAGAGCACGTAACGTCAAACAAAAACTCATTGGTACTGCAAAATATACAATCCTGACATTGTCACTTCTAAAGGAATACTTTAGTCAGGTGTATCACACTGTAAACCCATAAGAAAGCAAACTAATTTAAGTACTGTAACCTGTAAACTCCTGAACATGATATCCAAACCATGTCGAACGTTTCTTCTTGTGAATAGCATCTTGGTGTGACACTACTTCTGCTTTATTGTCTGTTCCAACTTATCAAACGAAATGAAAGAAAAAGTATCTTGATGTTATATTTCTGCTATATCGCCCACCCCTACCTTCTATTTGTATGCTGTAATAGGTTGTAATGAGTGTAAAGCAGATGAACGACAAGCCATATTTTTCATAAATACGTTGCAGCTGTGATGTACTTTATGCAGTTGGATTCTTTATCTTTCCGAGCATAAGTATGGCGTTGGAGTTGCCTTCTACAATTGCAAAAAAGAAGGGTCTGTTGACAGTGACTTTGAGGGGAACTCTCTCATCCTGAGACTTCGGAACCTTTGTTCCTTCTTCTGACATCTCAAAAAGCACCTTGTTGAACACCTGTCAGACACACAGAGGTAAAGAATAGTATTAAAAATAAATATAGCTTTAAAAATAGTATTTTTCCATTTGAAATGAACAATGCAGCACTTGTATAATTTGTGCTGAACTGATTTTAGCTCAGATTAATGTCTGTTGTTTTTATTTCTCACTAAAGGTGCAATTTTACCTTATCAACTGTGAAATTCTCCTTGCTGCTGAGTCTCTCAAAGCTGGCATCAGAACCCAGCAGGTACTTTTCAACAGCCATGTCAGATAGCACTGATCTCAGGTCAGTCACAGCTGTCATTGAAAATTTAGGCAGTGACAGTTCCAGGTATCTGTGTGGGGGGGAACAGAAATATATAGATTTACACGTAAACATTTTATAAGTCACAAGTAGGGCTGAAGGATTTGGAGAATCTGATTAATTTCAATTTATGGACCAATATTTTGATTGTTTTAAATTGTGATTATTTTGTATAAATAAAAGGGGAAATTAAAGTGAAATTTACTGATTTTTCAATATTTCTGTAGAATTTAATCATTTAGACATAAACAAAGCCATTCAGAGTGGTTTGATGTGAAATGCTCCGTTCTAAGGAAACTTTCAAAGTCAGAATTGTTCAGAAGAGGTGATAGGACGTGATGGGTACCGGGCATCTGAAGCATTTAATACCTCTAAAAGCTCCCTTATTGAAAGTTTTTACATGAAATGGTTATGAATACACTGCCTGATGCCTGAGACATTGTTGTACTCTAGTTTTGAAATAAGGTTTTGTCCTGAAACTTTTTTTTTTTCCATTAATGGCAGTGAATTGCATGCAGTGCGTCACAAGGCAAGATAGTACCCAAAGAAACTTTTTTTTGTTGTACTACTAATTAATTACTATTATTAACATTACATATAAAATCTTAGAGGACATGTCTATGTTCACTTGTCATTTTGATAGGAAATAAAATGACTATATTTGTGTTATAGACATTATGACTTCTGGTTCCTATCATTACCACTGTAAAGAAAGAAATCGGTAGGCTTCTCTATAATGAACCACTTCACATTAAACCACTCTGACTGACTTTGTTTACATCTCAATGATTGATTTATGCATAAATGATTAAAAATGGGTGGAATTCCTTAAAGGTCGAGGGCTTTTTTCTGAGCCAAGAACGCCAGCATATCCACTTTATCTGGCTTGAGGTTTAAACACTGAACTTAGTGTGCAGGCTGCCATGTATGGTTGTGTTGTTCTGTACACAGCACATGGGTGTTTGATTGCTTTTGACTGCTTTTGACAATTAAAATTGCAGCTCTTACGATTTAAAAATTCACAAGAAAACCCTAACCTAACCCTAACCTAGAACTAGTCACAGGGTCCCTCTGTTTCGGTTGTACCCAACAGACTATCTATGGAATTATTGATCTGTGGCTGCTGCCGTAAATGTTTGAAGGCCGAGCTCTCTGGCGTGAGCATGACCCTTGGACTGCTATTCAGCTGATTTCAGTTTGACTAATTTTCTCGGTACTTCTTCCAGTATTTGGAGAATAAGGGAGAAAGCCAATTCAAAGAAGTGCCATAAGCTACTCACCTCTTCTTTAGATGATTATTCCATGTAGATATGACTTCGGTCTGCAGTTTTTTTTCAATGTCTTGCACTCTGGCTCCCTCATGTGGGAGCACTAGAAGCATGTAAGTCCGCTTGCTAAGGCTGAGTTTGACTACAGAGCACTTCCTGCCAGGGTCATTGAGATGCATGTAGTCACCAGTGTGTGTCATTAGAGGTACTTTTACAGTAGACGTCTCATCAACCTTGAAGTCTTGCATAGTAGTCACCTCTGGCTGGAAAGCGGTCCCCCAGTTGCCTAAGAATGATGATATTAAAAAACGTTAACCTTCAAATATCATCAAAGAAGAGCATGATGTGAAGAGATGATAAATGACTTTAAGCACATTAACCACACACCTTTGAAATGTACAGAGCTTGCAAACAGTAGATTTGTTGTCTGGTTGATATCTGTAAAGAGGCTCTTGATCTTGCTGTCTGATGTTTTCTGGATGAAGGAGTTGACCTGAGCCTCGGCCTCTTTGGGCTGAGAGAAGTCCACTGCTCGAACGAAAGAAGCATCTGAGAACTCCTGCATCCCACGCACAAAGTCTTTGGAGAGGTCCGCATCGCTGCGCACGAAGGTCCAAACAAGGGTCCTGAGCTCATCTTGAGGGCCGTCTATTAGTGAGTTGATGGCCTGAAGCGTGCGCAACACTGTGTGGGCGTCTATGAGGTAAACACAGTTGGTTTGTCCAGAGTCCCAGTGGAGTCCCAGCAACGCTTGGAAGGGAACGGCCGTTATCTTTGATGCCCCAAGGTACAGAGTTGTGAGGGCTCCAAAGACATTGTAAGGGGAGAGCAGGACGTTTGCATGCTCCTGTTTGCGGCTGAGGGTGTGATACATCCGCAAGCCCAGAGAGTTCTGCAGTTCAGCCAGCACAGCGGTCCGCTGGGTGAGGTTCTTCAAGACCTCAGGGCCAGTGCCGGGTCGAGGGTCTGGCTGAATGCTGTCTTGGAGGGGAGTTAGAGGGTGGATGGTCTCCAGAGGTTTAGGGTCCTTACTTTGGATGACCTCACAGCTAATGTTGTCATAGCTAAAGAGTTGGAAGGGATGGACGTAGACCCTGTTGGCCATTCCATTGGCAAGACAGGAGATCATTACAAGAGACAGGAACGCTGCGTTCATCTTTGTTTGCTTGTTTGACAAAACCCTCAGCGTATACCTAAAGGTTAAGACAGCATAGTTGACATGGAGCCAAAACTATCATGAAATTACACTGTATGTGGCTTTAGAGCATGAACTGATATTAAGATCTCTAAGTGGGTCTTGCATACATCACTCCCATTCAAACACACTAAAGACCAGGGGTCTATGTGCTAGTGAACTGTGTTGGAGGGCAGTGACCCAGCTGAGTGGGTGGAGAGCCTCGCAGCACACATCTCACACTAAGCTCAGGTGCAAGAATAAACAATCAAAAGGGCAAATATGACTCCTATGCTGTTGGTTTAGACAGTATGTTGACTGGAGTGAATTCTTAACCACTTTGCAGGAACACTGAACTGTGAGGAGTGTGATGGTTACAGTGTGCAAAGTGGATTTAGATTTTCAAATCTTAAATTTTCATCTAAATTTGTGGATTTGAGCAGAGAGAAAAATGAAGACATTTTGAAAAAACACTTTCCAAAATTAATTCTTATCTTGACTGATTTAAACCCAGTTAGCCCATATATATATCGCTGTTGAAAACCTCGTATCTCCAAAATGGTAACTTCACAGGAGAAGGAAAAAACACACTTTACTTTTAATGTAAGTCAATGGAACCAGAATTGTTTCCAAGTAATTTTAGGCCATTTCTTTTGGTCCATACATCATGAAATTTACATACAATGTAAAGGGTTACATGCATTTTCAAATTATGCCAAAAACTGAAAAATGACAAAAATGCTACAAGCTTTTCTTCCGACAACAGCGATATACACACACACACACACATATATATTATATATATATATATATATATATATATATATATATATATATATATATGTATTTCACATGTGAAGTCAAAAAACGTGATCACATGAAAAAACAATAAAACACTTGCAACATCATGTGAATAACACATCATAATACAATAAAGATGATATGTCCTTCCCTGAAACTGTATGTGATCACCTTTTTTTTCACGTGATCTGTTTCCATGTGTGAACACATTTTTTATGTGACCATACTTTTCCACATGTGATCACACTGAAAACGTGTGGGAAAATAACCAATTGTTTAAAATTCATAAATTCATGTTTTTTTTTCTGTAAGGGAGAATAAATACATACATATGTAAATCACAAGAAAATGTAAAAACTGTATTATATATACAGTACTGGAAACTTCTGAAGACAATAAGACAATTCATCAGAATCCTGTCATTATTATTTTCCTGTACCTTCATAACACATACGTCAAAGTGTGCGCCAAGTTAAAAAAACAGCTTGTCCAGCTCAAGGATATGTTTTTGTTGGGAGTTTGACAGTTTAAGTCAGGGGTGTCCAGTCTTAAAGTTTCATTCCAACAGTGTAGGAGCTCACCTGATGACTTTTGAAGACTAAGACCAACTGATTCACCAAGCAGAATCAAGTGCGTTTCTGCTCTGTTGAAAACCTGCAGCCACACCGGCCCTTTGCAGGTAACACTAGACACCCTGCTTTAACAGGTCTACCAGCACGACAAGCTTGATCATCTTAGACGAATCTAACTAAAAACCATCAGTCAGCATTTGAGACCAGCAAAGATCAGCTAGAAAAGATGTTTCTGCAGGGTTCGCTTACCTAATGATGTGCCGCAGGTCCTGCAGCTGAAATGAGGTGCACTGAGACCTGCTGTGAGTTTTAAAAAACTGGGTAAAATCATGACTAACCCCCTCAGTTACACATTAACCTCAGTGTTGAGACACCGATCCTCTTGATGCAAAGCTTCAAATTGGCTTTTGTACCTTTGTGCTGAAAAACAAACGGGAAGACCACTTTTGCATCAAAGCAGTATATTTACCCAAAATGTGATGTCAGAGGGGTTGAGAACAGTGATTTCATAGGTGGCTGACAGGAAGGTGCAGGGGAAATGAGATGAATCATGTTCTGTTTTAACAGTTTGTTCTTTTCCAAGCTGAGTGGAGACGCCTGTAGCCACTGTTGTATTTAGTCAAGTGTTTCTGAGGTTAAAAAAACAACAACAACAAAACAACAGAAAGCCTGGAATAGTATTTTTTTTTCAAAGCTGTCATCAAATGGATGTAGTGTAAAAATGCAGACCCCTCACTCTTCAGCTTTTGCACTTGTGAGGAAAGGAGAAGAGATTGTGTGAAAGCAGAAACTGAGGAAGGAGGCCTTACAGAAGTGAGTAATTAGTCATTGCAAATGTCACAAAAATGTCAGTTGACTAATATGCTGCTTGTGTTCATCTCAAAAATAAAACCTAACCCAACTAAAAAGGGAAAGATAGGCTATGGTATTACTGATGTTAAGAGAGTTAGGGAGGCCAAGCTAGTGCTGGTAGTTCGCCTTCTCACCTGACCTGTTTTCTTATGCTAGTATCTCATCTGCTGCGCTAGGATTGGCTGATTGGACGGCTTCTGAGGTGCAGGAGGCGGGGCTTGTCTGAACACAGGCTGCTTAACCAGGACCACAGATTTCTTAATGAATCAGAGGTGTTTCATTCATTTGTGGCCTTCAAGTTTGCCTAGTTGTTGCTGGTGTCTGGGCACAAGTCTTGTAAAAAATGGCTGCAGTTTAGGTTGTTTAGTGGAGTTCCTCTTCAAGCCCAACCCCCTCATGCACAGCTGGACTTCCCTGAGTTCCTTGTGGGTGGCTGCTTACACCTCAGATGAGCCACACTGCAGAAGACAGGTCTCTCTCTCTCTCTCTCTCTCTAACTCTGCCTCTCTCTCTAGCTCTCTCTCTATGTGTCTTTGTGGGTAGTGCTCACTGAACTCCTGCACTATGAGCAGTGAAGACAGTTTTCCTGATGTGCAGCCCTTCTCTGCAGGATGTCCCACATACAGATGGCGCTCTCAGAGCGACGCCTCCGGCTTCACGTCCAGGATCTTCAACAGATTACGGGGAGCATGCTCAGGTAGGGTGGCTTACATCTGCTGCATTCATGCTGGTTGATACTGCATTTTCATATTACATCGAGTGGTGGGTTTACATTTTAGAAATATACAGGTGTATCTAATAAACTGGCAGTTGTAGATACATACACAAGAAAGTATTTAGAGATTTGTGACATCCTTAAAAATGTATTCCTTGTAACAGGAAACCAAATACCAAACTAAGTGGCATTTATTTTAAACAGACCATTTAAAGACTGTCATAAAGGTTTTATACACTCGATCCCATCAATGACAACAAACTCACCAACACTGTTGTTAGATAAACCACAGACTTTGACATGCTCAGTGTTTTATAAAACCCTTAGCGCAGTCTCTTTGGAATTCTGCTCCAGGATTTCTCCACACAGAGTCTAGCATCTGCTTGAGCTTGGGCTAAAGGTGTATAGTTTATTTGATGTATGGGTTGTTGTGCCATTGTGGAGGCAAATGGTGTCTTTTCGTTTTTATTTGAAACAAAAGTTTTCATGCTTGTTTTTTTAGTTTAAATTGTAAAAACGCATCAGTGTTATTGTCTCTTCTGTGGTAAAATGGCTTTAAGAATTTTAAATAAACTTTAATATTTTTTTTTAATATTATATCTTGTTCCAAGATCCAGAAAGTCCCAGTTAGTAAATCCTCTTTTTATTTTTCTGATGAATTTGGTCTGGATATTAATAGCTTTATGCGTCACAAAAAGACAGTCAGTATCAGCAGTGTTACTAGTGTTTAAAATGGAAATAAAATAACAGAATAAAAGCAATATTTGTCATTTTCTACATACAATGTGAAACTAAAGTGGCAGTGGTCTATATTTTTGGTGTTAAACTCATGGTATTTTATACACACACACACACACACGTATATATATATATATATATATATATATATATATATATATATATTATATATATATATATATATATATATATTATATATATATATATATAATGTTGTCGGAACAAAACCTCATATCTCCAAAATGATAACTTTACAGGAGAAGAAAAAAATATACTCTACTTTTAATGTAAGTGAATGGAACCAGAATTTTTACCAAGTAATTTTGGGCCATTTCTTTTGGTTCATTCATCATGAAATTTACACACAATGTTAAGGACAACAGATACATTTAAATTATGTCAAAAATGAAATACGACAAAAAAGGTTTTGTTATGACAGCAGCGATATATATATATATATATATATATATAGTAACTTATCTGATCTGATATTCAATACAGACAACATTGTATACTTGAATTACACATTAACATTTGTACCCCGTTTGCCACTGCAATGGTATAATGATCCGTATATTAGGTATAATAATTTAATCCCCTACCTAAAGTTTTCATTTGTGATCCAAAGTGCTCTGTAATTAGTGGATAATGGTCAGGTAATCAGGGCCACTACCGGACATCTTTAGGAATGATTGTCTCCCTCGTCTTTCAGCTGAATCAAGGGGAGCCTGCAGTAAGAAGAAAATGACTTCCAAATCTCAAGTTAGGCACACAACAATGAAACATCAGCCTTGGCCTACATACAAGTTCCTGTCCAAGCTAAGGCTACCTAACAATAACCACAAAATGTTCAGCTGCTTGACTGTGGGTTTTAGCTTCAAAAATGCTGATGCACTTTCTGTTAGGCTGCTGGAGATTTTTTTTTTTAGCAATTTTAAACATTCAGCATGGGTAGATTATCGTAAACCCAAACTGGAGTAAACGTGTTGCTGATTCAGTAAAAGAATGACTGAAATGAAAGTTGAAGCAAAACTAAAGCTACCAAAATAAACAACTTGAGTAGCAAAAGAAATTGTCATGTAGGGCAAGATGATGATATTGATTATAGTCGTGATAAATTACATCACATTCTGCCACAGTGTGCTTGTCTGATCATGTTGTGAATGTCGTTACGATAAGCTGTTAAAACTGAACAGCTGCATGTTTTGTGTCAGCAACAGCATAGTAGTTCAGATGCTGTTGCCATTAAAATAGAATGAAATTAAGCTTAAAATAGTTGCTAAATGTGAATACCTAAACTGGAACTGGGTGAAAAGTAGGTTTTTCACGAATACAAGTATAAAAAGTGCACTCAGTAAAGATATTTAAAGGCTTTGTCCTTTTCATAGCATGTGTTATTAGGCTATATATGTATCATTAATGTGAAGTTTTTTTAGATGTTCATTAATTTCAATAACAGGTCCAAGTGTATATCTGAAGTAAGCTGCAGATCATATCTTCCTCAGCTGCAGACTTTCCTTGGTAACACTGCATGCCAGTTCTTTTACAGACCTTGTTTTGTTTGCACATCATAGATTCCTGATAGACATTTGTGGCTATGAGCTTTACGGGAAAGGCAGTGCTGTGAAGGCTGAGCAGTTAAATATAGTGTGGCTGTGTGACGCATCTTCCTCAAGCCACAGTCTGAAACCACTAGAAATGAGGCTTCTATTCACATCGCAGACACTGTGACCAAATGTTATTGTTGTCAGTACCCCATGACAGATAATATCAGACAAGTTCTGTCTGTATAGAAGTTCTGGCAGTCAGTGCACTGATGGTGGCAGAACTCAGAACAGTTGCCTGTTGTTCTGTTTGATTGGTGAAGATCCTGAGCTGAACCTCAGTTGAAAAGAATGGTTTACCAAAAAAACCCTAATTTGCACTGCTTTCCTCCTTTACCCCAATCATAGTCAACCAGCCAAGACGTGTTTGGCATCTGAAGCTCGCACTGGAGCTGCAAGGCTAATATACAGTCGTGTGCAAAAGTTTGGGCGCACCTGGACAAATTACCCGTTGATTTTCTATGTGCACATTATCTATAGCGAGCACACGTCTGCACAATTTAATCCATAGTTACTGTTCATTATTTAACTTTATTTTTAAATTTAAATTTCTTAAATTTTTCCTTTCTTTTTAAAATTGAACTAAAAATGAGTATTTTAGTAACAAAATATTGTGTAAAGTTATAAAAGACATTTCCTAAGAACTCTATGTGACACCAACCTACCTCCTTTAATTATTGCTGTCTGCTCTTTTTGGCTCTTGGCCCACCACAAACATTACACTTTGGCTCCCCCAAGACAAAAATCGGGGCACCCCTGCTTTAGATTAGTCTGCAAAAGAAAGAATCACTCGAATTTTTGGTGACCTTTAGGTAGTTGAGTATTATGCTTTTATCTGTGCACCATTTCTGCAAACTTGACGGTTTAAACCACTTCCTGACTGCTAACCTTTTTAACCAACAACACAGCAACACCCTCCTCGCCTTATCAGTCTGCCCTAAATACAAGACTGTCTGCTCAACATTTTCTTCAGAAGTTGTATTGCTGTTCTGTAGCTGATCTACCTCAAAATAGGCTACACACTGTTCTGCTGATAACATTTCTCATACTCCTTACTAACTATTTTGTATGATTGCTTTCAGTTGCACATCAGAACAGTGCAATGTTATTTTCAGTTTCATAGACAGGCCTGTAGTGAGTCTCTGCTGCTGAGGTGAGGCACTGTTGCGGAGGCTGTGTGAGAAATTGCTCCGTGGCTTTACTCAGTTTGTGTGCTATGTTGTATTTGGGTGCTGAACTTCCACAAGCAGCCACACGGGGGCAAACAAGTGCTTTCAACAGAATATCATCCATGGCATCAGTCAGGATTATCTGAGCATTCATGTGTTTGGTTGGTCTGTTGGTTTGTTTTGGAGGCCTTTTGTAATTAGAAAAATTAGTGACACTGTAACAAAGGAAACATGTGCTTCCTGTTAAAAGTTTGGGTACACCTAACTTTATGGTTTTAGTACAAATTATTATGCACTGCCAAACAGAAAATACTTTGTGTGGTAAAACACATTTTACCAGGTTTATTCAACTACAAATTCCTTGAGTTTAACAATGCAAAACGCAAAACAGTGTTCTACATCAAACCTCAAGAAAAACTCAAAGGTACTGTCAGGTGTGCACCAGATACTATCAGGTGAGCACAAGATACTATCAGATGAGCACCAAGCACTATCAGGTGAGCACCAGATAATATCAGATGAGCACCAGATACTACATGATAGTATCATGTGCTAACCTGATGGTATGGTATCTGGTACTCACTTGATAGTATCTGGTGCTCGTCTTGATAGTATCTGGTGCCCAGATGCCTACATGATGCTCACCTGATGGTATCTGGTGCTAACCTGATGGTATCTGGTACTCACTTGATAGTATCTGGTGCTCGTCTTGATAGTATCTGGTGCCCAGATACTACATGGTGCTCGCCTAATAGTATCTGGTGCTAACCTGATGGTATCTGGTACTCACTTGATAGTGTATGGTGCTCATCTTGATAGTATCTGGTGCCCAGATGCCTACATGATGCTCACCTAATAGTATCTGATGCACACCCAAAAAACAGACTTTCAGAGGTTTCATAGACTGTATTTTCAATTAGAAAATCAACAAAACATGTTATTTGACCAGGGGCCAAACTTTTGCATGTGACTGTACATCAAATTATTGGAGAGTCCAGGCCTTCATTTTAGATTTGAACATTTTTACTTTCAATTTTTTTACATTTTACTTGAATTTTTTTTTCAATTTAGTACAAAAAATAGTGGATTTTTTAAACCATTTCACATTTTAATGTAAAATGTAGCCTGTGTAAAAGTTATGGCAGATGTTATATTTTATAAAGTTTTAGTTTGCTCACTATGTTAAACTCAGCAAAAAAAAAATGCATTAGTATAAGCAGAAAATTGCCATATTTAAGTTTGTTTCCTGTAGAAAATGTGTTAACTAACTTACCCCTAGTTAATCAACAAAATGTGTAATTTGACCAGGGGTGTTCAAATATTTTCATATGACTGTACATGAATGAAAGACCTTACAGTACGTCTACGCTTTTAATAGCTTTGACATTTCTCTATATCTTTAATCAGCACCAATAACCATCAGGTAATAACATGTTTTTCACAGATGTGTATCAGGCTCATAGTCCATGCA